GGGGATAATGCAAGCTTGCGTGTAGACTTCACATACTTTTGTCACACATTATCTTCATCATCTGGCCATCTCTTCTTCATCAGAGATATCAACTTCCTCCCATCGCTATTCTACATACACCTTACCAGGTTCAAACATATATACAAATGTTCCTTACATGATTGGTTATCACAGAAATGTAAATAATTGTCTCTTTTTCGTCAAAGTCCATACAGGCTATTTCAATTACTTTAGAACACAATTACAAGCTATCCTGACACTGCTTTACTCGTAATAGTTCATGAGTAGGTATGGTCTGGGTTGGGCATTGTTTAGCAAATAATATACTGTGAGTAAATCTCTAGCAGTATTGTGGATCATCCCATATCATCATTGAGCATTACAAACCCAAATGGTCACATTTTATGGACTTAAATATAAGTATACCCCGGCAAGCACTGCATACCACTTAGTGAGTTCCTGAGACATAGAATAGAGCCACTGTAAAGGCCAGAGAGAGAAAAAAACATACCCAGTCATCTTGTTTTAATACATTATTTTAAAACAAGTGGACTGTGTACTGTTTGTTTATTGTTGAAATTTATCACCAATAACATATATTGCTCATGGAAAAGTCAGGAATTCTGTGCTGCCTTAGGTGTGGGAAATACAGGAGATTGGTGATCAACTTTATAGCTATCACCCTCGAACCCATTTCCTGTCATCTTTCTATTCAAGACAGTTTTTCTCAATTTACGGTGGTTGTTTTCTCCCTGGTTGTGGATGACTAAGGTCAATGTTTCAAATCCATTTTTTCTCATTCCAATTCATCTTCTACTATTTCATCCACAATGGTCAGATTTTTCAATTCATGGCTCTTCCCATTGAATTAGTTACAATATGTTTTCAAATCAGGTCTTGAGGGCCTTTTCATGGAGAAATTATTTGTTGGCCTACATTTCCACTACTAAATAGATGACTGATTCCTTCTCGCTCTAATCAGAACATCATCCTCTGCTGAAAACACCCTTGTCCTTTGACAGCCATCTCATTTGGGTTGGCAGGTCAAGCTCTGCAAGTCATTATTGACCCCTACTCAGTATTTGATTAGCTTGGGTGGGCTTAGCCTTGTCCTTTATGTTTTTGAGACTTAAAGCTTCTGACTACAAAGGCTTGCATGTCTCCTTCTCTTCATATGCAAGAGGTTCTGGATCTTTTATAGACTAGCTTCCTCAAGTCTCTTATTCCTCTTATTCATACTCATGTACTTCCACTTCAGTAGGCTCTGGCCAATCAGTGGAACATGTTCCGAGATCTACTGTCTTCTCTTGTGTCTCTCCCTCCATTTCTTCACCTCTTGCTGTTATGGTGGTACAATAAGTCCCACACAACCCTAGGCATCCCTCTTCTCCTACTTTTCCCAGACTTACGTCTATTCATAGATGTTTCTCTTTCTGGGTGGAGTGCACTTCTGGATACCTGCACCATTTCTGGGGTTTTGTTGGCTATGCAATGAGCAGGCCATCATCTTCTGTCTAGTCATCTTGTCATGATTCATTCAGACAACTTCACTGTTGTTTCTTACATCAATTGACAGGGAAGAACTCACTCTCAGTACATATACTTTCTTGTTTTAGAGTTTCTATTTTGGACTAACAACCACACATGCAGTTTGTAGCCTGTCAAATCCTAGGAGCTTTTAACCTGATGGTGATACAGCTGTCTAGCCTAGACCAGAACCATTTTATGGAGTAGTCTTTACATTCTAAGGTGTTTCAATGGATTTATTCCCACTTTAGAGTCTTCTTTGTGGCTCTTATCAACACCAAGCTTCTATTTGTTTAGTCACCAGTTTCAGATTTTGCAGCTCTGTGTCAGGATTGGTTGCATTTTTTTCTGCATGTCTGTCCTTCTCTTTAACTTCTTCCCAAGGTGCTGTCTCTCATTTGCAACATCCCCTGCTTGGTTCTTCTCATTTCTCCTGCTCTTTTTGTGGTTTCTACTCCATTGTTTCTGGACATTCTAGGAGTCTCTTCCCCTTCAATGTTGGAGGTTCCTTTTACATCAGCCTCTAATATCCATCTTTTAACACAATTTAATCTTCTTAATTTGGTCACTTGCAAGACTGGCAGAATTTTTTTGCAGTGTAGTCTATTTTCTTGCTCATTGTTGTGGCTATCCACCCTTGCAATTTATCAGCAAAACGATTTACTGACATTAGTCTAGTCCTCATTTCATTCCTCCATGTCATCCATCTCTTCCTAATTTCACTTCATTTTAATACTCATCTTTTTGAAGGTGATCTATTCAGTTCTTTTCTTGCTGTTACAGAATGCTTTCTTTTTCCTGACCTTTTCTTTCTCCAGTTCTTATGTACTTCTTCCAAGCCTTTCTAAACAGTCATCCTCTTTGTCTGGTTTCTCTTGTGGACTGGAACTTCTGCATAGTTCTTAGGACTATTATGTGCCCTTCATTTAAACTTTTGGCCACCTATTCCCTCTACCATCTTTTTCTTAAGATGTATTTTTTCTCCTTCTCATTTGTGAGAGACATTGCTTTGATATTTTTGTCTTGGCTGCTTTCATCACACTCTTTACCACAGTAACTTTCTGCACTACCACTTGTAGTGGGTGAATATTATTCTCTGTTTTAGATGGAAGATGCAGTCTTCCACTGAATGATACTCCCACTAGGTCTCTCCCAGTGGCTGACACACTCCATGAGTTTCCCTTTTTGTCACTATATTTGTAGAAAGGAGCTCCTTTTTTTTTTCTCTCAATTTGGAATTCTAGCTATCTGTTCCATGGATAGGTGAGTAACATTTCTGAGCATAACATTGCCCTTACCTGAAATTATGTTTCAGAAACTCGCCTCTCCACAGAGCCACTGAACCTTCTTTCCTACTTCAAGTGTGTGCCTTTTGTCTCATCAAGAATGGGTTTTTGGTATACACATAATTCTCAAGGGGGGTAAGGGCATATAGTATTTGTTGCCTTCCTATTGGTGGAGGAGTATAGTCTAATGCTGATTGCATTGTAGAGTGTTGCAGTATACGTTATTATATGTAGTAGTGGAAGTTTCCTTCAAAGCCTTCACAAATGCATAAACCTTTTTAGTGGTGGGTTGAGATATTAGCTGTCTGTTTTTTAGAGAGTTGGGTAACTATTTGAAATACATTTTTCAGGTAAGTACAATATTAACTTTGCAACTGTACTAGGCAAAATTCCACCATTTGTAGTGACTTGAGCTCCATGAGAAGGTCATGTCATCTGGAAGTTGACAGAGAATACTATCTAATGGTTGATAATGCCTTAGCAGGTTCCTTTCTCACCTCCATGTGCATCTCTTTGTGACATTGGAAGTAAGATGACTCTGCTCCATTTGTTGTCACATACCTTCAACCAAGATGCAGAACACCTGCTTGCTTTATTTTGTATCTTTTCTTAACATATTTGGTGTTTCCATTGCAATGCCCTAGTTTTTGAGCCATCCTCAGGTTTACCTAGGCCTTTTCACTTCTTCCTGAGTGCCTGCTAACTAGGCCAGTTTTGTGACTAGACCAACATTTTCAGCTGTAAAAGTAAGAGCCTTAGTCCCAGAAGCATATCCAGTCGTTAGCTATTACTGGTCTCCTTCTCTAAAAATCTTCTAATTCAGGTATAGAACAATATTTTGCACTGTGACCATGACTACATGTTATGCCACCACCTGTGACAACATCTGCAAATGTATAAATCTATACAGGTACATACATGCTGTCTTATCCCCTTCTTCCTTCATATAGTATTTAAAGGATGCCTAATGCAATGAGATACTCTACTAAACGTCCTCATTTGGTCCAATCTCATTTGGGGCTTGTCTGCTCTATTCAGTTTTCCCATTAATTCAGTCCATTGATGTTTACTCTTGTTCTGGATTTTAATCAAAACCTGCTTGCTCACATCTTTCAATTGTTGTTTTCTCGGTTGTCATTGTGGGTATTCTGGATTTTCAAGTTTCAGAAATAAGTTTCTGAAATTTTGACACTTTGAGAAGTAAAATGTATTTCAAATAGATACTTACTCCTGAAATACATTAATGCCCATCTCTCAAGACTGTAGTACTGTAGTAAATAATATGAAATCAAGTCAGTAATTTGAGAGCTGATTAAACTACAAAAAGTTATACTATCTTTTTACCTAAAAGTTAATTATCACAAAATCTTATTTCAAGTCACATTTGAGGTGGTGAAAATTTTAAAACATGTTAAATTCACTAATAACATTAGGATACACAATATGAAAAAAAAACTCATTCATTCCTAAAATGAAATAAAAAAATTGAAAATGCACCAGTAACCAATTTTTGCTAATAGTTCTGACATTCAATATTTTCATATGGCCACAGACTGATGCCAATAGATTATTGAAAATAAATTATATCACCAGTGTGAACTCTGACAGTGCCAGCATATTTTCAAAAACTAATTAAATATTCTTTTGTTATTGGTATATGTCGTAATCTGAATCTCCAGTACCAACTTGCCATTAGTGGCACCATCATCACTAATACTTACATAAAAAAATAGTGCCTCTGAAATGCTTGTGAACTTGAATGTAGTTTCATGAATACCCCTAAGCAGCACATACATCTAACATCCATTCATTGGGTTACAAGCAAATAGTGATGAAATATGATTCAATATTTTCTTAAATAAACATCCTTTTAAAAATTATACTCAATTTTTGTCACCACACTTTTGTCTTTGAGAGATTTTAAACTGAATATTCATATTTATTAGTAGTGTTAATTTTTTTTATATTACTACTATCATTCAATAAAATTTTGAAATAAAACTTTTCTAAACTAATTTATTAGCTGTAGTTTGCTATGTTGTTCTTTATGATTCATATTTTTCTCATTTCTATTACATTTATTTATGATGAGAATGATTTATAAAGTTTTTATTTGATACATTTGTATTATAGGCATGTTTATCAAAAATATTTTTTAACCATCATCTATTCATTTGTTATTTGAAGTTCAAGTGGAGACCTGATGCAGATGGTAGATTAAACTACCAAGATATATTGAATGATCTAACTGGATTTAACCATACTGAAGGAGAAAAGTATGTTATCAAAAGAAGGTCAGTAGTCAGAAACTTGTAAAAATAAGTTATTAATGGCATGAATTTTTGTTATTTAATATAGAAAATATGTAATGTAGAAAGATGTTTTAATTATCTTATTAGATATTAGTGGCACGTTAAAAAGTGATCTGAAATGCTATTTTTACATATCTGATTTGAAGTACAAAATGGATAAATTAAGAAGAATCTGGAAGGAAAACTTGTATGAATTATTATTTTTGTCTTCAAGGAAAAATATCAGCACTTCCTCATTTTTTCCATTTATACACTTATAAGCTAAAGGAAATCAATTATATACATTACACAGCAGCATCTGACACCATAAACCTACCAAAAACTATTTTAAAGGGTACACTGAGTACACCTTTACAGTTTTGTAGCTTACAGATTTTTCAGTTTCTTCTCATATCTGAAACAAGATGCATTCTGATGCTTAAGGAAGAAATGCATTCTATGTGAAAGGCTTGGAATTGTATGTAAGACTACCCTTCTTCTCTTTTACTATATTAATTAGTCCTGATAAATAGAATCCTTATAATCAGATGATTTATGGTATCCCAGAACCTACCATTAATCTCATAGTATAAGCAATATTTTTTATTCTACAGGAAAAGATTAGATGAAACAAGAAGCCTACAAAAGGACAAACATAAACCTATAAAGCAAAAAATGTGACATGAATTCAAATTTTTTTAATAATCATATCTAAAATTATGACATAAAAGCCATCATTGAGCATCTGTAGTTAGATAGAGATGATTACTATAGTTGAGTATATACAATATGATTAGAGATCACATGTGATAAAAATTCAAAGTTAAAGTACATCTACTAGCCAAAATATAATTTCCAGAAGAATCCTTAAGAAAAGTCAACCTGTGGCCTGGATGCTACATTTTCAGAAATTGTGACCAGTATAATTTTTCCAAAAGTTTCTAAAAGCTCATCTGATGATCAGTACACAAGTTAAAGTCCATTCACTGGCTAATATAATTTTTTTTGAAGAATCTAAAATGAAAGGCAAATACAACTTTTCAATGGGAAGTGACAATGAAAAGAAAATGGTAATTAATTAACCTGAAGAAAAATTAGCACATTAAGTCATAGCAAAATGTCTTTATTATATGTTTTCTGTTGTGTGGTTTAAACATTCTTTCTACATATTTATGCCCTGGGGTGCATTTCACTTTTACGTGGACAACTGGTTTTCTTTTTGCTCATTCCGAATGGGAGTTCACCTGTCATACTCGTCAGCTTCTTCTCATAGATGCTTGGGTGGGCTGGTTGACCAAATTTGAGAAGTTCTTCCTTCATCCTACCCATTAACTCCATGTGGTTTTTTGAAACATATATGTTTATATGGCAAAATGGTTAAGAGGTGAAAGCATTTGATTTACCCATGTTTTGGTGCAAATTTTTCACTTGTTTGTTTGGTATCAAGCATGAATTCCGAAGTTAGCTAACTTCGGGTACATCTCATTCGTCTGATGCCATACCTCAGGCTACAGGTGTGGGTGATCCGACAGGGGGTTTATCAGCTTTTATTTGCAGGGAAATTGAGTGCTATGTGGGACAGCCTTTGTCTCTTGCTGTTGCCCCTTTTCCTCCTGAGCCTTTCGAGCTGAGGATTATGTTTGGCCCTTGTCAGCTTTCTCTGATTTTATTTCTCAGATATGTGATGTTTTGTCTATTGCTTCTATTTCTTATGACCCATGTCCTTCTTTGTTACATGATTCTGCCTCCCAACCTTATTTAGTTTCCCCATCCCCTGATATTTGGATTCACACTGAGTGATTTGCCTCCCACTTAGGTGACAGCATTAGTATGCCTCATCCCCCATGGACCTTGGATCAGTCCACCCTTGCTTATCATAGGGAGGACTGTCCATATCTGGACCAACAATTGTTGAGTTCAGTTTTGCCTGTTTGGGGGTGGAACCCAAATCTCCCATTTGTCTTACCCATGCCTAGTATTTGTGCCTTCATTTTACCCTGATGACTCTTTTGTGGTACCTCTCCCCAATCCATCTCCTGTCTGAGGCTCTTCACAGAAACCCTGAGGGGTTTTCTGGGGATGTCCTCCTCACTTCTACATTGGCCTGCCTGTCGTCTTCGGCTCTGGCCCTGCAAGGTGGACATTTCCAATGCTTATCTGCCTATTTCCATATTGGAGCATTCTCATCCTTGTCTTCTTTTTGCCCATTGTGGGGTGATGTACCAATTTTGCACCCTACCCTTTGGGCTGGCTTTGGCACCATACGTTTTCTGTTGTGTAACTCAAACCTTCTTTCTACATCTTTATGCCCTGGGGTGCATTTCACTTTTATGTGGATGACTGGCTTCTTTTTGCAGCATTTTGAACGGGAGTCGGCCTGTCATACTCGTCAGCTCCTTCTCATAGATGCTTGGGTGAGCTAGTTGACCAAATTGGAGAAGTCCTTCCTTCATCCTACCCAGTACCTCGTTCATCTGGGTATTTTATTCAACACCCATCTCAGTCGATCCCAACCTTCTCCTCTCCATCTCTGTCTTATGGAACTGGCTGTTCGGAATGCCCTGCCTGCTTGTGAGATTCTATCACTTTTGGGAATGTGGTCTTTTATGACTCCTCTCATACCCCTCAGCCAGGATCATATGTGATCCCTTCAATGGGTTCTCCACAAACAAGGGAACCTTGTTCAAGATCATCTGGATACTTCACTAACCTTTCTTTCCTGCATTGTGGACAATCTCTGATGGTGGTTGGACAAGGCTCATACATCAGTAGGTGTCTTGCTTCCTCCTCCATGACCAGATTTACATCTGTTCACGGATTCATCCCTTCAGGGATTGGGGTGTGTGGGTCAATCACCAGGAGGGTTCAGGTCGTTGGTTTGTCAGGGAACATTCTCTTCATATCATCATCCTCAAACTTCTTTCTGTTTGTTAGGCTTTGGATCATTTTCTTCCCACCTCCAGAGATCATCTGGTCATAATCCATTCTGATAATTCAATGGTGGTGGCTCATATCAATCACCAAGGTGGCACCTGGTCAAGATCCCTGTGTTTTCTAACACTGGACCATCTCTTTAGGGCCCACGATCATCACATTTGTTTGATGGTGTGTCATGTACTGGGTGCTTTCAACCTTGTGGTGGATCATCCTTCATGACCTGACCAGGTTTACCCAATGGAGTGGTCCCTTCATCTCCTTGTTTTTTGATGGCTTTACGATTTGTGGGGTATTCCCTATATCAATGCTTTGGCACCACCCTCAATCACCAGTTAACTTGCTTTTGGTCCCCAGTTTCCCATCCTCGGGCTTTGGCTATAGATGCATTCAGCCAGGATTGGTTGAATAAGTTCCATTATGTTTACTTTCCGATCCAATTATTTCATCTCGTAGTCTCCTTCATCTATCTTGTGCAAAGTCATTCTGATTGCTTCTTATTGGCCCATTCAACCATGGTTTCTCTCTTCCTTTATTCCCTGAACTTCTTCATCAACCCCAGTCACTGGTTCACGTCCTTCATCTCCACACCTGACTTTTGTCCAGTCCCAGGCATGGAGAACCAGTTTCTCATGTTGAATGGCATCTCATTTATCTCACTCCATTTGTCCTTCCTCCGTGGCTGTGTATCAGCAGAAATGGAATGTTTTTCACACCTGGGCCCTGCCTTTTCGTCCTATGGTTGCTTGTATCTCTGAGTTTCTTGTGTGGTTTTTTGAGAAGGGGTCCTCAGTCTCCTCAATATCAAACAGCTCTATCCCATATTTTCCATTTATCCCATTACTGCAGGGTCTTTCTTTCCCCTGTCCTTGCCATTTTGATCCATTCTTTATGGATCCATCAGCTGCCTGGGTGTCCAGTACTTCTGGATTGAGATATTAATGTAATACTTCATTCCCTTATTTACCTTTGTTTTAACCCATTGCCTCATGCTCTTTGTTTCACCTATCCCTTAAGGAATATTTCCTTCTCCTCTTGGCCTGTTGGTGGCATTAGTTGGATCTGTTTGCTATTGATGTCACTTGCACATTGTACCTACAAAACTTTCTTCTCCTTTATCTGGATTGTTCTTTCCTTCCCAAGACCTAGGCAGCTCGAGAGGGTAACTCCTCCTTTTTGCCCATTTCTCTTCCCTCTATTTCTCATCTCTACCCTTGTCCTGATCCAGATAGACTTTTATGCCCAATATGTGCCCTTTATTGTTATATTGCTCACGTGGCTTCCTTCAGGGGGTCCAGTTCCTGTCTCTTTTTCCAGTGGCAACCCTCTTCTTCTCAGGATCTTTCTCCCTTTACCTTTACCAATTAGGTTTGTCATTTAATCCAGTTGGCTTATTCCTCCTTGTCCCCTTCCCAACATGCTTTGTTCCATGTTACCTCCCAACAAATCTGATACCTCACCTTTCCCTTATTTCTCGTCTTCATTGGCCTTTGGAAGAGATTTTGCAGTCAGGCATGTGGGCCATCCCTCAGATGCTCATCTACCATTAGTTACATCATGTCATGGTTTTTGCTTCCTCAGGGTAGTACCTACCACCTGTGGCTATATTTCAGACTTTGGTGTGGCTATGAAGCTAGGTTAGGCTTTATTAATGCTTTCTTTTCTTTCAGAAGCCCTTGCTTCGAATTTTGTCTCTTGGATCCCACTCTGTGGCAAGTGATGCCTGATCAGGTATTCTTTACATACACAAACAAATCTGCACTGTACGACATGTTGATTCACATGCTCTTTCCATGGTTCTGCATGTTCACCTTTGAGATAGGGTGTTTCACAAGATTACTGGATGGTCAGTAACCTTGTGATATTAACTTCATAAATAGGCCTGTCCCAGACCATACCACCCATAGATGGCATGGGTAAAGCAGAAGGGGATAGCTGCCCATCCCTGCCATGTCTCGACTGAATAAATCGGTATGGTCTGCTTTTTAAAATAGGGTTTCGTGATCACCCATTGTACTGTCTCTGGTATAGCCATTCCTCTGGACTCTCCAACACATTTTCTCCGCTTT